GCGTGCGTGCGTGTCTGCTTGCGTGCGTGTGTGTGTGCATGCGTGCATGTGTACCTGCATGCGTGTGTGCCTGTGTGCGTGCGTGCGTGCGTGCGTGCGTGTGTGTGCCTGCGTGCATGTGTGCGTGCGTGTGTGCGTGCGTGCGCGTGCGTGTGTGTGTGTGTGTGTGCGTGCGTGTGCCTGTGTGTGTGTGTGTTTGTTTGTGTGTGCCTGTGTGTGTGTGTGTTTGTGCGTGCGTGCGTGTGCCTGCGTGCCTGCACGTCTCAGCATGTCAAGTGTCGTTTGAGGACGTAGGTGCTTCCATGTTGTGTTTCCTTCTCTCATTACAGAGTTTCCTAATAGTGAGGGTGAGAGCATCTGCACGTACTTGGCGCTTCCATCGAGCTTCACGCAACTTGTCGAGGAACCTCTAGTCAACCGACTTGTCTCACGGTATGGTCTTCCTCTTCTCTTTCTTCTCTTTCTCTTCCTCTTTCTCCTTCTTCTACATCTAGTTCTTCTTCTTTTTCTTTTTCTTTCTTAATTTTTTCTTTATATAGTATTCCTATTTGATTCCATAATTTTATTAGTGTATTTATTTAGTTTAAGTTAACAATAAATATATGAGTATATACATATACAATATATATTTATTTATTTATTTATTTATTTATTTTCAGTTATTTATTTCTAATCACTCAGTATGAAAATATCATTTAGAGAAACCAGAAAAACTGCAGGAGGAAGTTGCTTGATGTTTGTTGATGCTTGCGTGGTTCAGGTGGTGCGATCATCCCACCGCGCGGGACATGATGTCACACCGCAGCAGACGCCTCCTTGACTACCCACTGGAGATCAACCAGCTTGTGCATCTGCCAAGCGACTACAGCGAACTCATCAACCAAGCCTCCCTCTTTACGTATGTTCGTCTCTATCTCTCTCTGTCTCTGTCACTGTCTCTCTCTCTCGCTCCCTCTCTCTCTTTCTCCCCTCTCCCTCTCTCTCTCCCCTCTCCCTCTCTCTCTCCCCTCTCCCTCTCTCTCTCTCTCCCCTTTCCCTCTCTCTCACGCCCAATGCTTACAAAAAAATACATTAATTCAATATAGGATTGGATGTTGTGGCATATTCCTCCCTCCCTCCCTCCTTCCCTCCCTCCTTCCCTCCCTCCGCCTCTCTTTCCCTTCATGTGTCTCTGTGTATTTGTATTTAATATAATGTTAGTGAATAGTACAACAATATTAACATAGATTGAGGCATTGAAGGTTGCCTGACTTGTGATGACTGACGTATGGATAGGTTATTTTTCCTCTCTCTTTGTCTCGTATTTTTGTCAACCACCCCTTCCCTCGGGAACATATTGAAAAGGTCTACACACGACTACACTATGTACATGCTAATCATGTACATGTAGTGATATAATTTAATAATAATACATAATTAGTAATAATTTAATTAAATTCTGTTGCTAAATTAATAATAAAGAATTGATTAAATTTTGTTGCTAAATTAATAATAATATGATTAAATTCTGTCGGTAAATTAATAGCATTAATTATTTATATTAATAAATATAATATATAATAAGTAAACAGCTATTATAACATCCTGCATATTATAAACCAGCTGTGTATAACCGAGGGTCTGCCGACAGGTGTCCTAACTCGGACGGAGACGACAGCCGTGCGCCGACGATGTGTCTTGTCTGCGGTACGATGCTCTGCTCACAGAGCTACTGCTGTCAGACGGAGCTGGACGGCGTACCCGTCGGCGCGTGCACGGCGCACGCGGCCTGCTGCGGGGCCGGAGTTGGACTGTTTCTGAGGTACGGCGGCAGTCTAGTCGCGCGGGCGTGTCATCGGCACCCGTAACGTGCAGTTAATGATATCAAGAGCGTATAAAGAAGGAGAGCATACAACGGTGAAATGCTGAAACCATGTTGCAGTATTAGTCGAATAAATAAACTTTCCCCGTTTTATTTTTACGATTCTTTGCAGTATTATTGATCAGCTGTCCTACCTTGTTAATATAAAACAAACCGCATGTCCCTACGATGCCCCTACGCTGAGATATGAGCGGTGAAAATCTGGTATTTTTGCCGAAAACCGACTCGAAATACCTGCTGACTGCGACCGTCTCTCGCTTTGAGATAACTTCGGGAAACCTCGCGTGTTTCCATCAATGATTGACAAATGGAATGAATGACGTCTGTTATTGATTGCCATAGTGATGACCCCCACCTGTGCCCACCTCATGCTAGATGTAGTAAGCTCTGTAGTACTGACGCAATGAGTCGGCGCTACCATAGCACTACACAGCGGCGACCGGACGCAACACACTGGCCACAAAGTGAGAGAGGGTCGCAGCCAACGGGGATCTCGAGTCGGTTTTCGGCAAAAATACCAGATTTTTGCCGCTCATTATTTCAGCGTAGGGGCATCGTAAGGACAAGCGGTTTGTTTTGTGTTAGCAAGGTAAAACAGCTGATCAATAATACCGCAAAGAATCGTCAAAATAAAACGGGCAAAGTTTCTTAATTCGACTAATACTGCAACATGGTTTTAACATTTCACCATTGCTCTCCTTCTTAATACGCTCTTGATTATATGTATAATAATTACATACATTACAAGAACTATTAATGGATGTTAGTGCATGACGTGATGAATCGCTGCAATCTCATTGGATAACGCAGCAGGCATTATGAAGAGATAGTGCCCGCCTTAGCGGGCACTATCGCTTGCGCGACGCATTGTTATTATAACGCATTGTGTTTACGTCACGAATCTCTTGCGTCTGGGCGCCACGCAAGATTTTGGAATTAATGGCGATTGTGTTTGTGTCGCGAGCGTTTTGTCTACTCGAATGCACCGGCAAAATTAGGGAGTATAAAGAAGTATATACGCATGAAAAGTAGATTGCATAGTCATGTGATGCCATAAAAACATTAATGCCTGCTGTTGGGGCACTATGCTCTCATAGTGTTGCTTGGGAAGGAATAGTGCCCTCGCTACTCGCGTCGCGCGCACTATTCCTTCCCTCAGCAACACTATGATAGCATAGTGCCCCCAACAGCAGGCATTAATATATAAATATTGAAAGATATATGATAATAATAATAATAATAATATATAATACGAAAGAATAATAACAAGAATTCTAATGTGGCTAAATTTTGCTATTTTTTTATTATTTTTAAAAACATTTCAAACTTTTGCTATTTTTGATCGTGCATTCGTTATTTTCTTCCTAACAATTCTTTAAATTTCCTATTACTCACATGCTCTTTTGTCGTTCTTCATCGCCCGTCTGTTGGTCGCGCCTCGCAGCGCTGAGATAATAATACACATATAATTACACATATAATAATATGTATAATAATTATGTGGGTGCGTGTGCGTGCGTGTGCGTGCGTGCGTGCGTGCGTGCGTGCGTGCGTGCGTGCGTGCGTGCGTGTGTGTGTTAGGAGAGCTATTAATGGATAAGATTCAAAGATATATGATAATAATAAGTGCGAAAGAATAATAACAAGAAGTTGCTCACGCATTTTCGTTTCTCTCTCTCTCTCTCTCTCTCTCTCTCTCCCGGCTCCCACCTTCCCCCTCGGCAGGGTGCGGGAGTGCCAGGTGCTGCTGCTCTCGGGGCGGACAAAGGGCAGCTTCTTCCCGCCGCCCTACCTTGACGATTACGGCGAGACGGACCAGGGCCTGCGGCGCGGCAACCCGCTGCATCTGAACCCCGAGCGCTACCGCAGGCTGCAGACGATCTGGCTGGTGCACAGCGTGCCGCAGGAGATCGCGCACGCGCTCGAGTCCAACTCTAGCCTGCTCTCCATCGACTGGCAGCACTTGTAGCAGGCCGCGTCACCAGGGTTGCGAGCGGGGGGGGAGGGCCTTCCCCCTCGGACGGAGAGATTTGCGGCGTGCGCCGGGCAGCAGTGGGGGCGTGGCGCCGTGCTGCCACCTGCCTGCCGTCGTCGTGGAAACTGTCATGGCAACAGTTGCTACCGCATGTATGCTGTCTTCGTGGCAACCGTCACGGTGACAGTTGCTTCTACGTACGTACAAGCCGTCGTTGCGGAGATCGATATGGCGAGCATGTTGACAGCGATATGAATGAGAGCTAGTCTATTGTTTTGTCGACACTCGTGCCGGCAGGCGCCGGCTTTTCGACGCGCGTGCAAGGAGCTACAAGTTTCGTCGGAAACATGATATTAATTGTACGTAACGGCAAGTATTAACGTAAGGGCAGGAAGCATTCGATGCGGCGTGTGAGAGGCAGCAGGAGAGCGGCGTGTCACATTGTTAGCTTGACTGCGTGTGCGAGCACAGCATCGCTATAGGCGGGCTGGGGGAGGGGGGGAGTGATACTGGTTGATGGGGGAGCACTGCAGCACAGGGATCGAGGAAGTAATATCGCTTGTCAGCTATCCTCCTCGCAAGGTCCATCAGAAATTATCCGTTCACACTTTCGGGGAATCCCGCCCAAAATGATCACGCACGTGGTTCACCCGTTGTGCTTCAGTAACCCTGTGCGTGCGCGTCTGTATCTTCATGCTGGATTATTGCACAGTCATGCGCACTCGTCAGCTGCAGAGAAATTGTTGTCATCTATTTTGAAGCAATATTAATGCTTAGGAGCATTTTCCGTAATTTGCTTAAAGTGTAAACGCATATACCCGAGTGCGCTTCTAGGGCGGCTAAGATTGTGAAATTCTCTTGTCGCCGTTTTTGTTCACGCTAGTCGTGACGATCGTTGGGAAATCGCACTATGCGTTCGGGCGATGACATGCCGACTATTCGTCGCGTCGAAACAGAATGCGTGTGCGTGGGGTGTGCACAGCTGCTGCATAACTCGCGTGTCAAGCAGCGTGTATGGGTGCTACAGCATTGGCCAGTCGCATGTACTTTGTTTTGCCTCGACCCGTGGACGTGATGTAACTCACACGCGTGACGCACTTCGATATCACTGTTTTCCGTCGTGGGTTGAGGGTGATATTTAGGATTTTTATTGTAATTATTATTATTGTTGTTATTATTATTATTCTCTTGTTTTGTAAACTTATTCTAGGCTCAATAGCAGTGTGTCCCTCTCGTCATATTGTGTAGGGCGTCAGTAGGAGTTAGCTTAGCTAGCTTAGCTTAGCTAGCTTAGCTTAGCTAGCTTAGCTTAGCTTAGTGCAGCAATTAGCTTACTGCTTCTATAGTATCAGAGATTGTCTTTATGAGGGCAGTCATGCTTTATTCGACTGTCAGTTACTGTGCCATGTATACACTCACGGAGACTGCAGGTCTGTGTACGTGCATGCACCGCCACATGTATGCATAGACTGGACACCCGTTATAGGTGCATGGACAGCCACATATACGCACAGACTGAGTCACTGGACACATGTTAAAGATACGCGGACATCCAGATATACACGCAGACTGGACACCTATGATAGGTGCACACGCCACCACATATACACACACGGGGCAGGAAACCTGTTTACCTCAATGTCAGCTTTTACACTATAGCTCTTCTCTCGCTGTGATGCCTAGCTTACTCAAAGTGGGAAATATTTTAAATGCACGTGCAGATGTAATGGCTTGGGTCTGTCACACACTTGGGTGTTTATAAAACTGCTTCTCGTGGGTGGGTGGAGGGAAGCCGTAGAGACAATAATGTAACCCAGCAAGAGTAGGTTAACCTACTCTTGTTAGGTTACATTATTGTATCTAGGGGAGCCGGTGTGCATATTGGTCCCAGACTAGGACACTTCACAGGTCACGGGAAATCCAAATAGAAAGGTTCGTAATTTCGTGAATTAGCTTCCTGAATTCAGTGTATCATTAATGAATTCGTGAATTATCAAGTGATGACACCTGTGTATTCGCGTTACTATATATGATGTATGTACAACCTTACTGATCAACTAGATGAATACACGGGAGAAACGTGAAGCACTAATATTGATAGCATGATGATCGGGTGACCATCGTAGTGGACACTGCTATGCAATGTGTTACAAGTAAGTTGGCGACGCGATTCTTTGCAGTCCGTCTGTAGAGCAGTTGCAATTATTTTTCGACGTTGAAGCTTTAATTGGTCTTGCAAGGACAGGCACTTGGGACAGAGTCAGTAAAAACTGAAAAGAATATGAACGCACATTCACAAATACTACCGTACCTCTCAATTACAGTTGTGTGTTGTGTTGTGTTGTTGTATATCAACTTTCCTTCATAAAAACTAACACCGAACGTTCCCGCACTCGCCGCTGCGAGTGTGCTGTGTCGCCATTATAATGATAATAATATATACTTTATATATTATTATCATTATAATGACGACACAGCACACTTGCAGCGGCGAGTGCGGGAACGTTCGGTGTTAGTTTTTATGAAGGAAAGTTGATATACAGTGACACAACAGTGGAACTGTAATTGAGAGGTACGGTAGTATTTGTGAATGTGCGTTCATATTATTTTCAGTTTTTACTGACTCTGTCCCAAGTGCCTGTGCTTGCAACATAGCGACGCACGTCCAGACGCCAGCAGCGCTGCTAGATACGCCCCGCGCATGCGTGGACATGCGTACTTGCCGAAGTGAGCGCGTTCTTCTTGTTCCTCCAAAGATGTACAACTATCCGTGTGCAGTGTGTGAACATGTACAGGTGGAATTATCCCCGGCTTGTTACGTGGGTGCTGCCCTGTTGTTGTTGTTATTACAGCGGTCGCATATAGATTGCCGACAACGCTAGTACTGCCCGTGAACTGATTTTGCGGTTTTGCGCGCCCTCTATTGGTAGCTAAACAAACTGACACTAAGCCAGCTGTTTAAACTGTGTTGAGGACTGCAGTCATAACGCTTTAACACCATCCGCATGTATAACCCCGGTGTAGGTGCGTTCAATGTTGATATCATGCTAGCATGCGCAGAACCAGTGCATTAATAACGATGTGAAACTGACTTTTTGTTTCCCTGGGCGGCGGCGACATCTGCTATATTGACAGGCATCATTAAGAATAATGTGAGACGATAATGTTACAATCTTATGTAAGGAAACTACTCCGTACGTGGTCAATGTACAGTGTTGGACGTGATATATTATATATTAAAACTTTAACATCATGGCTTGAATTTCCTGCAGTATTTTTGTTTTTTGTTCAGCATTTTTTTGTAATTCATTTGGAAGGATTTCATTTGTGTAAGTCCGGGTGTACATCAGCCGTAACTAAGAACTTAAACGTCACTGATTTACATATCTTTCGCTATATTTATATCCATGGAAGTATGTGATATCAGTCGTAGAACGTACAGTGTGGAGAAGGAGCAGTCATTTTCAGGAAGCGGGTGTTCGACCATTTTGATTATGTGCGAACCAGGAAATACGGGGAAAAGTGTGATATTTAAAATTTATTTATTTATTGTTAATGGTTAAAATATGGAACTGGAGAATGGAGTATTTGTTACCTAGAACACACACACACACACACTGTCACCACCCACCCATCGGTGTACGAGTACGAGTAAAATGTTGTGAGATGAGAATATCGTACTGAATATCGTACCTACCGCCGCTGCCGTTCTATAGGCTTCCCAATTCTTATGCCCAGGAAGCAGCAATAGCGCGGTAATTCTGACTCATACATACAGGTCGTACATGACAGTAGGTCCGTGTCTCCTGAATCCACTCTAGAGGTAACGCTACATCACAGTATAGGTATTGCCCAAGTCTCCACCTTCTTTTTAACACTTTACTTCGGCCCTAGGTCGTTTCTTTTCGTCGTTAGGACGCCGAGATGTCCACGCGCAGTGCCACCCCATCGAAGAAATACTTTGCAATGCGCTAATGGCTAACACACTATTTATGAATACCTAAGGTTGGCTCTAGGAAGTTTTCTTCAAGCAATAAATCGCGGAGATGACATCGCCCCTGCCTTATATATTAGTATATAGGAGTGACTTATGCTGGGGTGGTGCCTCCACATCGAAAAAGCGACGTCACGTTTTGTGATGCGTACCTCGTGCCTGGCTACTACCCTCTTCCTTGAATTCCTAACTTATATATAATATATATGTTAGAATTAGAATATATTTAGAATACGTAGGTAGCATTTACAAGGTAGATTGTGCACCTGGGATCCTGGAGTTGGTTTTGTGCGTTTAGGCGTTGAATTCAAAAATAAACATAATATATATATATATATATATATATATATATATACTGAATTGAAAATCGTGCACATCAAAACGATATTTCTGCACGAACAGCTATATAATAAAAGAAGAGCAGTAGCAATTTATTGCCGCTGACGCAGGCGTTACTAATTTCAGGTACTACACCATTTTACTCACAAAAGTTCTGTGGGAGCATATATACGTCTAGCCATGCACCTATACCCCGCTAAAGGACGTGTCCTCTCACACGGGGGATTTCACCATCCAATAACCACGATGTGAGGGGACTTATTGGTAGACAGAATTTTGGCTGGTGAGGATCGAGCATGTGTGGCAACTTGCTATAACAATACATCGAAGAGCACATACTATATGTACGGGTACATCTCTGTATAACTATAACTATATATACAGTGGGGGCAGTGGGACAAGTCAACGTACATTCCTGCTTGATTATGGCCACCAGGATTACATAACCGGCGGAGAACCATCGTAAAGTCAGGTAATATATATTAATGTTAATGCTAAGATAACACTTACGACTAATGTTGATGTTACGGGAATAGCGTTGACAGAAACGCATCGTAGCTACGGGGGAAAAAAACTAATACAGGCAATCCGTAATTTGTCGTTACAAAGCTGCCGAACTTGTAATTGAGAATCCGTTACATAACTCAAATCTACATACATTTATCGTACATGACAGGAATATACGTATTTATATTAGTTGATCACGTATAAACAATAACTGAATATAAAAGGCATGATCCTGTTTCTATTGCATATGTTTCTGTCAACGATCTATAGGCGACCGTTAATTAAGACTAATGTTAATGCCAATTTTGTTTCTGACAAAGGGCCCGGGCGGGGCAAGGCGTTTGCCTTGTTGCGTTTTTTATCTGCAACATTTTCTGTTGCATTTACAACTGAAAAGACTTAAGTGGGGCGCGACCACGGTCTACGGAACAAGTGACAGCCCCCCTGCACCCTTCCCCCCGTTACCTACAGCTCTGACACCGTACCGTATGATGTGTGTACACACGTTTGTGTGCGGTCTTTGCTACCTGTTTCCTCTCCGCGTGCCCTGTGCGTAGCTGTCATGAACGGGAATTACCTGACGCATGGTTAACGTTCGAATAGCGCGGCGTATCTTTGAGTATATACGTCTATATAGTTGCCCCGTGCGCGCGCGTGTGTGCAGCGAATGGGAAGACGTACCAGTGAACAAATGACGTAGACAGATGTATATATAGGAGGTAAACCCTTCCACCGCTCTGTGGGACCTGAGGCTATTCCGCCACCGCGCGGCCAATATGCAGGCGCGCCGAGAATGACGTTTCCTTTTCGTGACTACAACACGTTTTTGGAGAGATGATATCGCATGCGAGCGTGGTGGTGCGTTCAGGACGATTGCCGGCGAGGGCACACCGTGGTGGTGGATGTAAAGGGGGTTGCTCTAGTTGGCGAGCGCGCAATACTTACTGGTCTTACTGTGCGTATAACTGGTAGAATCGACACGTCGGTAATTTGACAAGCAAACGAGTTTGAACCGTAGCAGCTTGAAGCTAGGTGGCACATTCAAACGAGATACGAACCTATGACTCGGCGCCGCAGATACAGTGTGTGCGCGCGTGTATTCGGATACACTGTTATGCTGGCTGAGAGCGAGCATCACTAGACCGTGTCCATTCTCTGCTATATAACGTATATACCCTATATAATTGTATAATATATATTGTATAATACACGCTGTTATAGGAGTTGCGGCTTCGTAACGTCGTATATCTTCGAAGTCAAAGAGACCATAACAGAGGAGGAGAAAGTCAATGTTGGAACTAATAAAATTAATAGACCAGCACAGCGGATTGCAATAGTCAGTAGAAGGAGCTGCGACGCCGCGGCAGCATGGTGGGCATCTCGGCCGTGACAAGACTGGACAACATCATCAAAGGCAACAAGACCACTTTGATGAACTCGTCCGTCATCTTTCTCACGTTCAGCAGCGAAGAGATCTTCCAGAGGATCGTCTTCAAGTGTCCGTGCCAGAAACCGGAGAGCACTCTGTACGGCGCGAGCTTCCTGTTTGGACCAGCATTAGCGCTCCTTATTGTTGGTGAGTTGTATTCGGGCGATTGGAGCGATCATACAACACAAGAATCAAGAAATATCTCACAAATATTTCTGTCAGTGCCTTTGCTGTTTGCATGAAAACCCCCACGGTGAATGATTTTCTGGTTATTTAGGTGATCATGCAACTTAATTTGATGACAGTTTCTGTCAAGGGTGCATAAGGACCTGATAGCTTGTGAGAAATCCCCATATGATACACTTTATATATTACAATGCTGTTATTATATATTCTTCGGTCCAATAACGATATATGCAGTTGGGAATAAACTGGCATATTTTTTTTCAATCAGGCGTGTTAGTCAACAACGTCACATGGCGTTTGTTCACCGGCTGCTGTCATCGCACTCGATCGACCCAACATGGCTGCCGTAAGAGTTCGGTCTACTTGTCTAGGATCATCACGCAGGCGCTGGTGGCTCCGGCAGCCTGGATCTTTATAGCCTTCGTTGACGGAAGGTGAAAACCTCATTTTCTGGAAATCAATTCGCGTTGCGTAAATTTTCGCGTCCAGCCAACCCGGCCGCTTTAGCGCCGGGATCACCCATGGTCTACATGCATCACGTGGAGTTCCTATAGCGATTGTTACTTAGAGTATGGAAAATGATAAATACGATGACACGAGAAGTTAAACTAAGAAATCTAAGATTCGACAATTTTCCGTGAACAATTTTGCTCTTTTTAAATCCATTATATTATATAAACCAATATACTATCAATCTACATAGCTGTTATGTGTGTTAAGCGTTGTTAGGTACGCATTACCATTTGAAGTGTTACGTATTTTAATTTTTATGCTTATGGCGTCATAACTACTTATGCTGTTTCTGACAACGTCCCCCCTAATGCTACGTACTGTGTTAAGGTACTATATGTGCGCGAAGGCGACCGACCCTTGCAACGCCGACGATGCCGAGCATGATGTCTTGTTCGGGGAGTCGCAGATCATCGGGTTGATAGGAATGCTCGTGGGAATCACCACAGCTCTCGTCGGTACGAAGATGAAACAACAGTCATCAACACAGACTATCTGCCTGTCTGTCTGCCTGCCTGCCTGTCTGTCTGTCTGTCTATCCGTCAATTCGTCAGTGCGTCCGTTCGTCCGTTCTTCCATCCATCCATCCATCCATCCATCCATCCATCCATCCATCCATCCATCCATCCATCCATCCATCCATCCATCCATCCATCCATCCATCCATCCATCCATCCATCCATCCATCCATCCATCCATCCATCCATCCATCCATAAAATCACTCCATCATCCATCCATCCTCCATTCCATAACATCCATCCATCCATCCATCATCCATTCACATCCAGTCATCCAGTCCATCCATCCATCTCATCCATCCATCACATCCATCATCACAAACCACCTCCATCATCCATACCATCCATCCATCCATCCATTCTCATTAACCACTCCATCCAAATCCATACCATCCATCATCCAATCCATTCCATCCCATACCATCCATCCATCCATCCATCCCATCCATAACCATCCATCCATCCATTACCATCCATCCATCCCATCCATCCATCATCCATTCATCCATCTATCTATCCATCCATCCCATCCATCCGTTCTCCCATCCATCCATCCATCCATCCATCCATCCCATCCATCCATCCATTCATCCATCCATCCATCCATTCCATCCATTTTTCATCCATTCATCCATCCATCCGATCCATCCATCCATCCCATCCCCCATCATCCATCCATCCATCCATCCATCCATTCATCCATCCATCCATCATCCCATACCATCCATCCATCCATCATCCATTCCATCATCCATCCATCCATATCATCACTCCATCCATCCATCCATCCATCCCTCACCTCATCCATCCATCCATCCCATCCATTCCATCCACATTCATCCATCTCAATACCATTCCATCCATCCATCATCCATTCCCATACCATCCATACACCCACCATCACCATCCATCCATCATCCATCATACCATTCCATTCAATCCATCCATCCATCAGCCAGCCAGCCTTCCATCCACCCACCTAGCCTTTCATCCATTTATTCATCCATCCATCTATCCATCCATCCATCCATCCATCCATCCATCTATCCATCTATCCATCCATCTCATACCTCCGTCCATCCGTCCGTTCCGTCCGTCCGTCCGTCGTCCGTCCGTCGTCGTCCGTCCGTCCGTCCGTCCGTCCGTCCGTCCGTCCGTCCGTCCGTCGTCCGTCCGTCCGTCCATCCGTCCATCCGTCCGTCCGTCCATCCATCCATCCATCCATCCATTCATCCATACCATCCATACATCCATCCATCCATCCATTCCATCTATCCATCCATCCATCATCCATCTATCCATCCACCCATCCATCCATCCATCCATCCACCCCCCCTTCTCTCTCTCTCCTCTCTTCTCTCTTCTCTCTTTCTCTCCCTCTCTGTATAACTGTATCACTCTGTCGAGTTCTTTCTGACCTTGTCCCCCTCTCTCTATTTCTCTCTTTCTTTCTCTCTTTCTCTCTCTCGCCCCGTTTTAAAAATTTATCTACGCACACCGTTTTCGTTTTATGCCCACGTGCAATTTATATTCGGCTTATTGCTCTATATTGGTAATCCATCGTTTTTTCTTTTCGACTTTTTTTTACATGTTTTCTTTCTCTGGCCCGCGTAGACCATCCTTCTTGATTTTAGACATCACATCTGTTTCAGTGTTGCTGGCTCAGAGGTGCATGGATAGGTTCACTCACAGCCAACAGCAATTCGTAGCCATGTACAGGGCGCAGGAATCTGAAATCTTCACGGAGAAGGCGAAGGTTGTATAACTAGACAGGAACTTATATTTATTGCTGCAGTATTCCCACGCAGCAAGATAAGAAATAATAAATAAATATATAAAAAATATAAATATATAAAAATATAAATAAATAAGAAACGCTTACGGTTTGTAGCCTGCGATTCAAAAGTATTGTAAACAAACGATCTTCGACAGTTAACAGTAATTAAACATCGTTAACAGTGACAATTAACAGTATCATTTAATTAAAAAAATGTTTTCTAGAACATTTCAAATTAAATTAAAAACCATTTAATCGTTAATATTTGAACTTTTAAATAATTATAATACAAATAATTTACGCCTCTTTCAACTAACTACTAAATGTAAATGAATATAGTTTTCCGTTTAATGCAGCGCACAAACGCAATAGGTGATAAGCCTAATACTGGTTCAGTATATTAATTCGCTTTTCTAGTTTATTCTTCTCGAGTTGTCTTTTTATATTTGTGTGGTGTGGTGTGGTGCTGTGTGAGTGTGTGTGTGTGTGCGCGTGTGTGTATGTGTGTGTGTGTGTGTGTGTGT